TAGCTTAAAGTTATTTGTGAAAAATCTCATCTATGATCTTACAGGAAAGTTGAACACAAATCAGTTCAGAGCAAAAACATCAGGCATAAATTTACCAGTTAAATTTGTTAAATTTCACTGGCAGCCTGAGCGTTCATCCCATGTGAGCTGCGACCCGGCCACTCTGTCCATTTGTAACCACGAAATGATCAACGTAAACATATCACATATCACCGTCTACTTCCCTAACTTACGGTGACACATCCGGATATTTCAAAATAAATGTCTTAAGTACAGTTAAAACAGAACATTACAGTTACACTGAGAACGCAAAACTTTGTGAGGTAACATAAAAAGAAAATAATCCAGATGTCCTCGAGGGGGCTCCGTAAAGAGAGCGTCCAACAGACTATATTTTGTGGGAAAACAAAATTAATAAAAATTTAGTTTCTGTAGCGCAGAGTGAGTAGCCTCAAAGACAAGACTATCACCACGAGACGACAAGGAGAGTCAGAACCAATGTGTTACTAGAAAAAAAAACAACAAACAAACAAACAAAAAATAATCAGATTTCATGCAACACTTGCATAGATTTTTTTCTTTTTCTTTTTTTAAAATCATGCTGCTTTTTTTCCCCTCCCACCTCTCTTTAAATATACAGAACACCAGATAAATATATAAAGTGATGCGTGGAAGTAGGAAACGAGAAAAAAATGCTGACCTCGTGTGTCGCCGGAACGGAGGAGTGATGCAGGAAACGGAATGAGGTGAACGGAACGAGTCTTCCTCCGGGAGGCTGTGACATTTGTGACGTGGAGCTGAGGGCGACTGTGTGTGTGTGTGTGTGTGTGTGTGTGTGTGTGTGTGTGTGTGTGTGTGTGTGTGTGTGTGTGTGTGTGTGTGTGTGTGTGTGTGCGCGTGCATGCGAGTGGGACTGAAGTGTCTATCTTTGTACAAACCCAGCTGCACACACGATGCAGTGTTTGACACACAGAGGGTGCGATCTGTGCGGGAGTCGTGGATGCTACAATCAGTAACGTGCTACAATCGAATGGTGGTAGTGGGGAAGCCGGGTGGAGGTGCAAAGAAAGGCATGCGAGCGTACATTCTGTGAAGCCTTTGATTCGTCAGAGCGCTGCAGCCGAGCGGCGTGTGCTTGGTTCACGTGAACGACTGAATGTAAACAATCGTTTTGGCCAAAAAAAAAACAAAAAATAAAAATAAAAACATCCATCTCCTCAAAACATGCCCTTCCTCGGCTGCATTTACATTCTGTGTGCCTGTTTGCCTTGTCGAAGTGTCGGAGTGTGATTGTGCAACAGCAAGTGAACCTCCTGCGCCGTAGGTGGCGCTGTCGGTGCAGCCTCAGCACCATCAGTGACAGTTCAGAGGCCGCCTCRCATKYCTCAGCAAACACYAGAATGGTACAAACGTTTGTCAGTGTCGACAAAGTGAAACATAAAAGTAGCCATGAAACAAAACCGAGTGCCCGTTCAATATATACACATCGTAATTAAATGCATTACAGTTTCCCATCCAAGGTTTCAACACGGAACATTCCTATGTTAGTTTATCTGTAGAGATCATTCACTTCCTGTTCTGCCGCAATGTGCAAAGAGTCCTAAAACAATTACACATGCAATAGTAAAGAGGATTCGAAGTCTTAGGAATTTTAAGGCCAGAGTTATGAGACGTCCTACAGTGGAGAAACTTCAGGCGGAGCAGCTAAAGTGGGACGTTTGTGTAGCSGAGGTGAGTTAGCCCTGTTCAACTGGAAACTAACTGTGTCTGACTGACAGGAACGCGGATTTTGGTTTTGCCACCTTTAAGTAGTTAGTTTAGGACTGTGCGACAGTCAGGGGGCTCGAGTGGGGGGGTGTTGATGTTGACCTGGAGGCCAGAGGAAGGGGGAGGGTCCTGGTCTCAGTAGTTGTCTCYGGGCCAGGGGCGGCTGCGCTGACGGTTCATCCTCTGGTTGTGGCCCTGCTGAGCCTGCCGCTGCAGCAGCCTGTCCTGGGACTCGTGGCTGCGGGTGCTGCCCGGATGCCCGCGGTGGGAGGGGTACGCGTCCCTGTACGTGCGGCCGTGGCAGGGGGAGGCGTACTCATCCTCCTCCTCCTCTTCCTCCACCTCCTCCTCCTCAGCCTCCGGGTGTAAAGGGCTCCCCCTGCGGCCYCGGGACAGCGAGTCGCTGGCCTCGTCCGATGGCATGAGACTGTCCTGCTCCAGGGGGGAGTGGGCCTCCTCGCCGACCTCCTCCTCTTCGTCACCCTCCACCTCCTCTCGGGGCTGCGCCTGGTTCTTGTTCTGGACGTGTGAATTTGTCAAAAAAAAAGGAAAGAAGAAAAGACACAACGAGACGGTTAAGATGAGCAAACACAACTCTTAAAGTAGCTTTTTATGATRACTCTGAGATAAACAGAAAACACAAAACGGGACAAAAACAAACCACACAGCATGTGAACGGAAGGAAGCGCTGGCATCGATTTTAAAGACTAATATCTGATTCATCATTTTAGCCTGCGTTCCACTAATTAATTATTCTGACTGATGAGTCAAGCTAACTTTACACTCTTCATCCACACGACAAACAAATAATCTGTGGTTAGATCAGCTGCTGAGTCACATTAATATGACTTTAAAACTGAAAACATTTTTTACTAGTTTAAACAAATTAATTTAAAATATATATTTTTCTGAGCTCATGCTGTTTTGTTCTCCCCAGACCCAAAAGGTGAAGAAGAGTGCAGTGTCTCTGACTCATACAGCCGTAATAACCGTATTAATGGGAAATATGACAGCTAAAATAAACCAGAATTACCCTTTAAAGCAACACTAACATGCCTCACAGCGTGTTGAGAAAGTTACTTTTTGCTGCAGTTGTTCCTCCATCTACACTGGACTCATTATTCCAAAGATGTGCATATATGTGTGTATTTAAAACCATATCTGCAGGCAAAATAAACTAAAAGCTGTTTTATTGTAAGTGAAAAGTGAAAAAAAATACAATTAAAAAAGACAAAAATGAAAATACCTGCATCTGTAGTAGATGCTATTAATTTCCAATTTGCTATTAGAGATGTTATTTAATTTCCCTTTGGTTATAATAAAMTATTGAATTGAACTGAATCCCTGGTCATAATGTTCTGGTTAATGATCTATTTTCTGATGTCGATCTGAGTTTAAGTCCAGAAAATGATCAGATTTTCTACATTTCTGAACTATTTTATGACAAAATTCTGTGTCAAATAAGTTAATCATCCCCCTCTCTTTGTTCACGTCACACTCAGCTTTACCTCCTCCATCAAATAATGGAAACAACCCAGAGGAATAATTYCAGCAGTTAAGAACTCTTCAACCTGATGACTGTCTGAAAACCAACCTGGYGAAACAAACAGAGCSGTCCTTCAACTCCTGAATGATTGAAATGAAGACAAACCCTCCAGAAGAATATAATCTGTATGGTTCTSTCTATCAGGACAGTGTTCTGCCTGATTGTTCCACTGAACATGAACATGACTGCTGACTTAAACTTCATGCAACTTGAAAGTAGTTTCAACACAGATCAGCACTTGTTATTAATTAACAAATCAAACTTATGTTTGTTTAGGCGATGTGTCCCGTGTGTTTATTTGTCAGCAAAAACATCAGATGAACCAGTGAACAAATGTTAATAAAACTCGCAGGAAGTAATCGTCTTAGCTTTAGTGCCAACGCAAAAGAAAACAAAAGAAAACAAAATTAGTCATTATAATGTGAAATCACTGTTAAATCTGCACCWAGCAGCAGTTCACACTGCAGTGWTGACTCGCCTGGTTTCTGTTTCTGATGGTTAAAACAACAGCAGACACAGAACATCTGGTCTCAAACATCCAGGAACAAATAAAGTTTTAGAACAAAAACTGTGAGAAATCAAACTCAATCCAGCAATAAGAAATAAAGGAAATGAGAGCTGCTTCATACTATAAACATAACAAAGTCAACAGAGATCATGCAGCAGTGTAACGACAGTCACACTGTTGGTTAATTCCTTTTTAAAGGGATAGTTCAGAACTTTTCAAGTTGGGTTTTTACAGTAAAGCTTTGAACATCTTACATGTTACAGATTCTGCAGAACTTGAAGAGCTAATTCAATCTGTGATTCAGATGGGTTGGAGCAGAGAAACAAGTAAAACGTGCAGGATAATGGCCCTGGAGAGCACACCTGGAAGAACTAATGGATAGTCTGAGCAGGGTGAGACTGTAGTGGATTYCTCCTGTCTTAAAACAGCTTTAAACTCCTGTTTGTGCAAAACTGTTTTGTGTGCATTTAATTATCAGAAAAGCTGTCACTGATTAATATTTGCCTTTTTGAGATTACTGTGACTAGTGCAGCGTGATGACAACATATTTTTGTGTGTGACACATTCTCGCTATGAAACGTGCATGTGAGCCCATAACATATAACAAAAATGGAGGAAGGCGATGCGGAGCAGCTAACGCTACGAACTTGTTTAATTATCCATAAACCAGAGTACAAGGAACGATGTGGACCGAAGCAACGATGGCTACAACAAACTCTCCTCTCTGCTGTGCTTTGTTCAGTCCAGTGTTAACATTTGATCTCCCCGCTTCCTATCTACTCAGGTGCAGAATTGCTCTTATGGAACGAGAGAGACGTTCTGAAAGAAAAAACAAATCCAAATATTGACCCCATCATGCTAGTTTTGATGGTTCAACACGTTAGTATACCACGGTTAGCATGCTTTTAGCTAAAGGGGGTGTTGTGCCGGATCTCTGGCGTATTGCAAAAAAGTAAAACCTTGGATTCACCCAGAGGATTACCAGACTTATCTGGATCTAAGAGAGGCAAATACTATTACTACTACTACTTCAACTACTCTAGAAATGCCTATTAGCCAATCAGAATTAAGTTTGGGGCAGGTCTCTGTAAAAACTTGGATCCAGCAGTCGTGACTTGTTCTGTGTCCTGTTGACTATCACTGTTTCCCACYCTGGGAATGTGCACTGAGCATGGACCATGAGTTTATTAAGCCAGGGAAAGACACTAAAGATGTTGATAAAGACATAAAGCGTAACTGGTGCCGGGCTTGGATTGAGGAGGAGGGTAGCGGACCCAAGGCCTTAAGGTGTAGATTCCATCTTCCAAAATCCTAGCTAAAAGCCTGACTGTCAGCATCATACGCTGATGTAAATTCTCAGTCATCCAGGACATGACGAATGTGGAAATTTAAAAAAATATGAAGCTGAAGACGAGCAGAAATCTAAGCTTTAAAATACATGATGTTGGTATTGATAATATCAATATCTGGATCGATCTGTATACCCCAATCTCAATGACATAAAAGGCTGATAAATGTGACATGACTGCGGTCCGTTTGTAAAACACCTATCTGATTCAGTACCACATATGAAACAGAACAGATGTATTGTGTGTGATTTTGTTTGATTTTTTTTAAAAATATTTTTTTTACATTCAGACTGTCGTAAAAACTCTGACACAAGCAAAAACAAATCTAATTTGGATTTCTTTTGCCTGCAGTGTGGACGCAGCCAAAAAAAGTCAATGATTTGGACCTGATCAGATACTTGTAATCGGCTCAGGACGTCTCTATAATTCCTAACCTGTCCACAGGAGCCCACTCCAAAAGATCTAAACTTTTCCTTTAAAGCCCCCTGATTTATGTAAGTGTGTAAAAACAGGTCAAACTGATGAATGAATGTTCCACTCAGACTCCTTAGTCTGTCGTGTCTTAGTTAGTCTTAGTTTGTCGTGTTCACCTGCCTTCCATTCAAACCTTGTTTAAGTACTGATCTTTACGTTTAAAGGCCTGTGCCAGTGTGAGTGGGGTCAGCATTCACAAAGCATGCTTGACAAAGGYTCAACAGAAAACAAATATTCTGTTRAAGTTTAATTAAAGACAGGGCTTCACTGCTTTGTGAATCCCCCTCCCCGGCCCAGAAAGCTCGTGGAGCAGGGGACCACCCGAAAGCACCAGGTTAAAATCAAAACAAAAGAGGCACGATGCAATAAAGAAAACAAACAGAAACACACATAATCGTTTACGTGGTGAGATCTGAGTGAARAAAATGTGCTTCATTCACTGTCTCTGTCGCTGTGCTCTGTTTGGGTGTCAGGAAAAGTATGGGTGGGGGAGGGGGTGCAAATACATATTATATAAACCCTACTACTCACCCCGCTTTTGTTATCGATCATTCAATTAATTCCTGTGTTTCAGAAAACTGCAAGAATGTTAAGTTTTGATGAGTGAGAGAACAGACAGCGGGAGACAAATCTGAGATGGGCACAGCAAAAAGACAGCAACACGTTCAAAACAAGACCACAGAGTCTCTAAGCAGCATTAAATTCATACTATGTGATCACGCTCTGCTGGGAAGTGGTACAAACCTCCCTGGAGGCTGGAGATGGCAGAGGGCGGGGTCATCAGACTCTGCTCCAGTAAGGGGTTCAGAGGAGTGTTTCCTGGCAGGTGGGTGGCACGCCAGTAGACCTCCAGGTATTCGGCCAAATGCTCGCAAGCATCTTCTAGCTGGTTCTCATCTAAAATGACATCAAACATATCCTGCAGGGCGAAAAAATTAAAAAATAAAAACAAATAAAGTCAGACTATGGCCACAGTTAGCCGCTTGGATCATGTAGGGCAGAAATAAAGTAAACAACGTACAATAACAACATTTTCTGGCTTAATCTTCTCAGGATGAATATTTGAGCCCCTGAATAAGGACAACTGGTCTAAACCCAGTGTCCTCAACCAGCGGTGGGCAAGGTTCAGCTAATTCGCTAACAGCTAATAGCGGAAAAGTTTTTTTCATTTTGGGGATCAGCTTTTTCTCTTACTGTGAAAACCGTTAGCAGGTCTATTAGATTTTGCTGAATTAGGTTTTGCCAACTTTATGTCTGCTAAAAGCTAACTTTCACAGCTTTAAACAGGTATAGTATAGTTCAGAGGTTCTCAAACTGGGGTCTCAGGACCTCCACGGGTTCGTGAGGGGTATCTTGGGGGGTCCTCAAAAAATTCACTAAATTTTTATTTTGTTTTTTATTTTTAAAAATGTGTGGAGTACAATGACCTAATAAAACAAAATATAACAAACTAAAAATATTTATACATATATTCCCATGGCACTTAAGGTTTGAAATGACAGTAAATTATCTTTTAAAACAGCATGGGGTTTATGGGGGGTGAGGGTCCCTGGAAATTTTCACCCTTGTAAGGGGTCCCCAGACCCAAGATGTTTGAGAACCCCTGGTCTAGTTAACATAGTGACAGCATAGACATAGTTATAGTAAAGTTAAAATACCATTTCAAAAAGGCCTTTTGATTTGTTTAATATTTTTATATAGTACATAAAGWGACTGAAAAGCTGTTTGTCTTCATTTCATCTTTGCGTGTCCACCTGCATTAAGCAGGGCTAAAACTCTAGTTTGATTGGCTGAACTGCCACAGATGATCCCGCCCACTTTCAAARCAAACCAATAGATTCTAACTATCATCGAAAAGGAGATGGATATATGTGACACTAGCCTGGCCCTTGCCTTCCTACGCAACTCCACTCAATTCTAGTTTCCCTTCACTGCTCAGTCTGGGACTTCTCCCATTGAGATGGATTTCACTGGCAGATTTTTAGCCGGGCCAATCAGAGAACAGAACCTCCATTTTCTGTGCAGTGTCTGCTTGTAGTTTATTTTACCTGGGCCAATCAGCAAACAGAAGGAGGGGCTTTGAACGATATCAATTTTCTGTGCAGTGTCTGCTTGTAGTTTATTTTACCTGGGCCAATCAGCAAACAGAAGGCGGAGTTTTGAACGACGTCGATGTTCTGCACAGTGTCTGCTAGTTATTTTAGCATACGGCAGTGGAGGAAGTGAATGAAGCCAGTTCGTGTTGATAAGGCTTCAAATTAAATTAAATTTGTCTGACAAAGTAGCAGCTCTCATTTACAGTCGTCTCATTTGGCTTGGTACTTTTCTCCTTTCAGTAGGGTTGTTTACAGCACACGCAATTTCCGGTTAGCTTCTTAGCTTAGCCTCCGTCACACCAACAACACACACATGCTTCAGCAGAGGCCACGCCTCCTGCAAGAAATTGATTCTCTATTCAGCAAGTCCAGAGCCTTGTATGAAGCAAAGTGAAGGACATGGTCTGGTTTAAACCAGGCTAGTGTGACACAGACTCTGAGTGACAGCTGTCTTAGCGGACAGCAATAAGCTGTTAGTGTTACCTTCTGCTAATTTTTTTTTACTTGTTTAGATGTTTAGCGTTAGCTTCCGAAGGCAGATTGTGATTCTGTCCAAACCAGAAGATAGGGACTGAAACTATATACATTCTTCATGGTGTTTTTTTTTTTTTTTTTTTTTTTTGTCATCAGTGCTCTGTCCAACACAGTGTCCCAGTCACAGCTGTTGCTTGCTTTCACTTTCTTTATTATTTTGGTAAGTGTTCGGTTGTGACGTTCCACAAGTCCATTACTCCATGGGCTGTATGCAGCTGTTGTCTCTATTCCTGTGTTTCTGTCATATCTCTCATCTCATCATTGTTGAATTCACCTCCATTGTCACTAAACCTCTTTTGGTGATGGACCATGCACACTTATTCAGACATAGATAAATTTTTTAACAAGTTTAGAGGACTTCTTCTCAGAATTCTTCCTGCAATAAATCGTATGAACCGATCAATGATATGAAGATTTGGTTCAAGTTCATGCAGATCTACTGCCACGGTTTCATTGTACCAGGAGCAGGAGGACAACAGCAGGTTTTGGTCTTCTTCTGCAATATTTCTAACATATTTCACATTAACTAAGAATGTTCTGCAAGATGATGCCACAGTCCTTGTTTTTGTTACATGAGCTGTCCAGACGCCTTTGAAGCCCGTCCATTGAAGCTTGACCAAACTGTAGATGAAGTTTGAGTAGGATTTTGTTTTTCTGCATTGTTCATTTTTTTTTTTTTTGTGATAATCAATATTTCCTCTTCACGCTGATTTTCCTCTTGCTCATTTATTTGCTGTTTGACTTTGTCATTGTCCATGATGTCAAAGCAGTATTGGCTGGAACTTGTGAAGTTTCACAGGTTGAGTAAAACATCACTGCCCTGTCATGTTCCATGGCTAGCACTGTTCCTGCTCTTTTAAAAGATGCCTTGCCAAGTGGTAAAGGAATATTTGATGGGACAATGTTTCAGTGCAACGCTGCATCAGAAAGCTCAATTTTGTACAGACGCATTCGTCCATTCCTCTGTTCAAAACAATAAAATATGTCATAGACATGTTACTGTCTCTAGCGATTAGGGTTGGGCGATATTGGCAAAAAAAAAAAATCACGATTAATTGTGGTATTTAGCCTATAACGATTAATTTGACGATTAATCCCCTGGAGTCCCTGGACACCCTTATGTCCTGGTCACATGACCAATTTAGTGGGAAATATTTGCTCTTCATAAAAATCTGTTCCAAATTGTCAAAATTACAGACTTCGGGCTATACATCAAATTTTAAATTGTGTTGATAGATAAATAAATTACAGACTTTTTTTTAAAATGTTCATCACATTTGGAGCGAAGAGGAGCATCGAGCAGACCAACCAGAGAAATATCCAATCTGCCTGGTGGCATTAATCGTATTAATTGTCAAGTGCCAAAAAATAATCGATTAATGTTTTTCTGACGATTATTTGCACACGGTACGATTATGCCCAACCCTACTAGCGATACGGTCAAAGTTGGAATTAGCCTCGTCAATTCAATCCTTTTCTTCTTTCAAAAACAAGTCATCAAGTTCAGCAATTAGGGTATTTATACCAGTGTCCTCATTTAAATCATCCACAGGTATTTCCATCACCACCTCTCTCGTTCTTCCAGACAGGGCCAAGGCCACTGCAAGCGCTTGTTTCGTCTCATCAGTGTGTGAATGGGTGAATGTCTGTTAGTGTAAAGTGCTTTGGGGTCCGGAGGGACTTGAAAAGCGCTCTATAAGTTCAGTACCATTTACCATCAAATTCGATGAATCAGGTTCAAATAATGACTTCATTTTTCCAGCTTTCGTAGGGTTTTCCCTCTCCAAATGTACACAGAACTTTGTAATTACTAACATCCTCTGCTACCAATGTTCACTACAAAATAAACAAGTACAATGACGAACGGTGTCACCATTTATTATTACTTCTCACCATCAGTTTAATATTAACCACTTCCGTTAATATTAAACATTTTAACAAGGTAAAACTGGTAGATGAACTTCAGAATAAAAGATTGAACATACTGTATAAAAACAGAAATGTTCTTTTTGATATTAGTATATAGTCAATTCCCATCACTCACCTCAGCATTAGGATGCAGGGTCTTAGAGATAATACAGCGGGTAAAATAAGTATTGAACACGTCACCATTTTTCTCAGTAAATATATTACTAGAGGTGCTAATGACATGAAAATTTCTCCATATGTCGGTAACAACCCAAGTGATCCATACATACAAAGAAATCAAACCATAAATGTCCAGAAATGAAGTTATTTGTAATAATGTGGAATGGAACAGGGAAAATGTATTGAACACACTTACTGAAATTTATCCAATACTTTGTACAAAAGA